GATGTCAAATATATGAAAGAGAATTGTCTCAGCTGTAACATAGTCAAAGTTGGAAGACGATCGATTAAGGATAAGCGAGATACGCTCAAATGCGTATTTTAAAAAATGACGTCATAGATATAATTCACTTTTGTTGAATTCAGATGCCAATATGATGACGTCACAATGTCCGATCAGCCATTTTGATCTATAAAATCATATTTACAACTTATGTGCTTTCAGAATATGTAATAAAAATTGGGGGTCACCTTTCATCCTTAGGAGCTATAACTGATTAAAAATAGGCCTGATTTTAGCATATTTTCACTGTATATCGGCGCAAATCCGTGCAAAGATACCTATATTTGATGCGCACGTACGACATTGCTATTGGCCATTAGATGACCAAAAAGGATGGAAATTTGTGGAAACAATGTCAGGAACCCAAATTATGTAAAAAAAACCTAATTTCTAACTTCCATACGTACTACGCAAGTAAAAGTGCGCGCGCGTAGTGGAAAATTATGAAAAATTTTGAAATGCTCAAAATGGTATGAAACGCGTTAATAAGCGCACGCGTAAAATTAAGGTACAGTACATTCAACATTAACCCAAAGTTAATGCTCACTTAATACGATTTCGAAATGGAAATTGGTTAGGCTGATATGCTCGATAATGTAAAAACGCAAAATTGCACGTAGATGAAGTCACGCAGCACTGAGCGCGTTGAAAAGCTTACCATGACTATTCCAGACCAAGCCAAAGGTTCGCTGACAGCGATTGTGCGGTAACTCGTGGCAGTTTTTGAGATATCGTGCGAACAGAAAAGGGGAGAAAGAAAGAATAAAAAAAAGATGATGATGATCCTGACAATAACAATAGGTGATCCGCTAACGTTAGCGGATCACCAATAATATACCGTATGTGCTGAGTGCCTGAGTGAGAGTTAAGTCATTTCTTATTTTTTACATCCTTACTTTTTCACTGAAGGAAAGGTTAGACAGGTTTCCACAATATACCTCTTGGAGAAATAATTATGTAGGTAGCCTAGTATTAGCATGATGTAGGTAGACAGATATCTCAATAATTAAGCAGTGGTAAAAGCTGATATTAATGGTGGTAATGTTTTCAGAGGTTAAGGTAATATTTTAGTTGGCAACAATGTATTAAAACTCAAATTTAAACCTTACCCTTTGTAGTAGATTCAATTTTAGTAGTAGTAGTCATAATAGTAGTAGGTTCTGAACAAAATAAGAAAACAAGCATTTTTGCACAAAATTATTAAATTTAAATTTTAAAAAAAGATCTCAAATGACTAATAACAAAAAACACACAGCACATGATAGGATCAAGTGGTACAAATTGTTACATGTGCAAAACTGACACGAGGCATTGATGCATATAAAGAAAATCATATTCATATAAACAATTATCATATTTCATGAAGACATCAAGATGAAAGAAAATAAAGAAATTAAGGAAAATGTATTGAGCCTGAAATGCAGTAAGATTCAAATATAAATTTACATGAAACAAAACTTTTGAAGAATGCTAGAAAGCTAAAAACAGGATTTATGCCAGAGCACAGGAATCTCCAGGACGCTACTGAAATTAAGAATTAACTCAACAACAGTTTTTTAAAACTGATGTAATGATTATTAGTATCTTTCTTTAAAATGAATGGTACTGGTTCATGTTGAAGGCTATATCTTACATAAATGTAAATGAAACTACAAATATTACTGGACTTCCATGTTTCAACATGCCATTATAATTTATGTGCTTGATTAATTGTTTTTTTCACACTGGTTATATTATACCAAGATCAAACTCAGCATATAACCAAAAGTTTAATAAGAAGTTCAATATTATGCTAGGCAAGCAAAATATGGTTCAGTTGACATGTTACAATCACAAAGCAGGTAAAACATAAAAAAAATGTAAAAAATAAATAAGATGTATACAGTATATATA